TGAGAGGAGGCAATATAGTGGGGCTAAGAATGAGAGCCAGTTGAACCATCTTAAAGAATTTGAGAAATATTGCAACTCCATGAAAGTCAACGAAGTTTCCCAAGAGTTCATCCGCCTCAAGTTGTTCCCCTTCTCTCTCATAGGAAGATCCTTAGAGTGGCTAGATAAAGAGGTGAATCCAAACTCCTTGATAACATGAGAGCCTTGATTCAAGGGTTCAAGCAAAGGCCAAATGAAAGCCTTTACGAAGCATGGGAGAGATACAAAGAGTACCAAAGGGAGTGCCCTCACCACGGAATCCCAACATACCAAGTGGTCCAAATCTTCTATGGCCGTTTAAGTCCCCAAGGCAAGTCATGCCTTGATGGGGGGGCCGGGGGTCCTATCATGAACAAGACCGAAGAAGAAGTGGTGGACATTATTGAGGATGTGGTGACGTACTATAGAGATTGGAAAGATGGGGAGAGGGACTCTTCTAGCAAGCAATCTTCATTGTACTCGGTGGACCATCTAAATGCGATCAACAACCTTTCCTCCCAAATGAAAAACTTGGGAAAGGAGGTGACCGCAATCAAATCCATGTTGGAGAGCGCTTCTTATTCTTCTCAAGCTTCGAATCTTCCCTCCCAATTTAAGGGGAGATGTACTCTTTCTAACTCTCAACCCCCTCCCTCTTCACATAATATGCCAATGGGTTGTTTATTTTGTGATGCATGTGGATCATATGATCATGACTCTAGTAATTGTCCTAATGAATGTGTTGATGAGTTTGATAACAATGAGAGTGAGCATGTGAATTATGTGTCAAATAATAATGCTCAAAGGTTTGATAATCAAAGAGGTCAATGGAATAGGAATTACCAAAACCAAGGCAATTTTGACAACTATAACCAAGGTGGTAGTTATAAAAACCAAGGGAACCAAAGTTCTCGTGGTAGCTATAATAACCAAGGTTATAGTGGCCAAAATCAAAGCCAAAATTATGGTAATCAAAACCAAGGTTATGGAAATCATAACCAAGGTAGTGGTAATCATAATCAAGGTGGTGGTAACCATAATCAAGGTTATGGTCAAAATAAAAATAGGGGTACTTGGAACAATCAAGGGAGGGGCAATTTTTAAAATAATGCTCAAAGAGATCCCCTACCCGGATTTGTTTCAAGGACTCAAGGAGAAAATTCCTATTCACAACCTTCTTCACCTAGGACCAATTTGGAAGAAATAATTGAGAATTAAACCAAGTTGTTGAACACATACATGACCGTTAGTGATAAAAAGTTTAATGAAATGATGACCCACAATAAAATGCTTGAAAACCAAATTTCTCAACTTACTAATGCTTTGAAAGATCATGCAAGCCCTTCTTCTTTACCTTCCCAAGGTCTTGATCCCAAGAAACCCGTGAATGCTATTGTTACAAGGAGTGGTAAGGTTCTTGAGGAGAGATTGCCTAGGAAGGGTGAAGATAAGGAGATTCCTAAGGAAGCCTTGGTTTAGAATGAGGGGGATAGGGCATCATTGGATGAGGTTGTGGTTGAGACACCTAGAGAGGTGAGAGTAGAGAAATAAATTGTGAAACCCAAGCTCCCTTACCCACAAAAATTCATGAGACACAAATTGGATGAACAATTTGGGAGATTCATTGATATGCTAAAACAACTTCATCTTTCTCTACCTTTTACCGATGTGATCAACCAAATGCCAAATTATGCCAAATTCCTCAAGGAAATTTTGAGTGGGAAAAGAACTTGTGAGGTTGTGGAGACTATCAATTTGACCGAAAATTGTAGTGCTATCATCATAAACAAAATGCCACCCAAATTGAAAGACCCCGGAAACTTCTCGATCCCTTGTGCCATTAACAAGATGCAAATTGATAATGTCTTATGTGCCTTGAGAGCTAGTGTGAGCATAATTCCATATTCGGTTTATCAAAGACTTGAACTAGGGGAACTCTTACCTTATAACATTACCTTGCAATTAGCCGATAGGTCAATCAAGTTTCCAAAAGGTAAGGTAGAATATGTTCCATTGAGTGTTGGGAAGTTTGTGTTCCCGGTGGATTTTATTGTGCTTGAAATGGATGAAGATTCTACCATTCCAATCATTTTAGGTAGACCCTTTCTTGCTACCTCAGGTGCTATGATTGATGTGAGGTGTGTAAAGATTTTCCTTAAGGTAGGAGATGAGGTCATTGAATTTGATTTGAATAAAAGCATGAAGTATCTATGTTCTTCTCTAGAAAATTGTATGATGATTGATTCACTTGATCATGTTGTGTCTTCCATGCATGAGCACTTGCTCACCTCTAACAATGCTCTTGAGAATGTTTTGTTGAACAAGGACAAAGTAGGTACACCATGCAAGGAAGTGGCATTCTATGAAGAATTGCTTAATGGAAGCATGGAGGAAGTGGATGAGCAAATATGCTTGAAAATCTCAAGCTAAGAAGCTTTGCAAGCGGCCACATCAAAAGAAGGTAATGGTGTGCCTATGATAGAGCTCAAACCACTACCATCACACCTTAGGTATGAGTTCTTGGGCCCTCATTCCACTTACCCCGTGATAGTTAGTGCATCCTTGAGCATGATCCAAGCTCAAGCGTTATGTGGTGTTTTGAGAAAGCACCAAGGTGCTTTGGGGTACGCAATTTATGATCTTAAAGGTATAAGCCCCGCCTTGTGCCAACACCACATAACACTTGAGGAAGGCGCCCTTCCTTCTATCGAACGACAAAGAAAACTACATCCCCAAATGGAAGAGGTAGTTAAGAGGGAGATCACCAAGCTATTAGATGCGGGAATCATATTCCCCATCTCTAGCTCAAAGTGGGTCTCCCCCGTGCATGTCGTTCCAAAGAAGGGGGGCATGACCGTGGTTGAGAATGAGAAGGGTGAGCTCATTCCAACTAGGCCGGTCACGGGTTGGCGGATGTGTATAGACTATAGACGTCTAAACACATCCACCAAGAAGGATCACTTCTCTCTTCCATTTATTGATCAAATGCTTGAAAGACTAACAAGGAAAAAGTTTTATTGTTTCCTCGATGGATATTCGGGATTCTTCCAAATCCCCATCCACCCCGATGATCAAGAGAAAACTACCTTCACATTTCCTTATGGGACCTTTGCCTATCGAAGAATGCCCTTTGGGTTATGCAATGCACCCGCTACATTCCAAAGGTGCATCATGAGTATTTTTGGGGATATGTTGGAGGAGGAAATGGAGGTCTTCATGGATGACTTTTCGGTGGGGGGTGTTTCATTTGAGGAGTGCCTTGTGAACCTTGAGAAGTGTTTGGAAAGATGTGTGAAGGTCAATCTTGTTTTGAATTGGGAGAAATGCCACTTCATGGTTGAGGAAGGTATAGTGCTTTGGCACAAGATTTCAAATAGAGGCATTGAGGTGGATAAAGCAAAAATAGAGTGATTGAGAAACTTCCACCTCCGGTGAATGTCAAGGGAGTGAGATCGTTCCTTGGTCATGCGGGTTTTTATAAGAGATTCATCAAGGATTTTTCACTTATTACTAAGCCCCTAAATGACCTTCTTCAAAAGGATGTTGAGTTCATTTTTGATGAAAAATGCTTGAAGGCATTTGATAGATTGAAGAAGGCCCTAATCTCCACTCCTATTGTTCAAGCCCCAAGGTGGGATCTTCCTTTTGAATTGATGTGTGATGCGAGTGATTGGGAGATTGGAGGTGTTTTGGGACAACGTGTAGACAAAAAGCTTCATGTTATTTACTATATGTCCAAGACACTCAATGGGGCTCAAAAGAACTACACAACAACGGAAAAGGAATTTTTAGCAACTGTACACTCTTTTGAGAAATTCCGTTGTTACTTGTTGGGTTCCAAGACCATAGTTTTCACGGATCACGCGGCCCTTAAGTATCTCTTTGCCAAGAAAGAGTCCAAGCCTAGGTTGATTCGATGGGTGCTAGAATTGCAAACTTTTGAGATTGAGATTAGGGACAAGAAGGGTGCGGAGAATGTTGTGGCGGACCATCTTTCTCGCCTTGAGGGTGATCAAATTCACGATGATGGTTCATCAATTGAGGATAGAATGCTTGATGAATTCTTATATGCCATAGAGGTGAAGGAACTCCCGTGGTATGCCGACTTGGTAAATTTTCTAGCATGTGGGGAGTTTCCACCCTCTTTCTCAAAGAAACAAAGGAAGAAAATCAAAAGGGAGGCAAGACATTACTTGTGGGATGATCCCATCCTATACAAACGAGGGGTTAATGGCTTACTTAGGTGTTGTGTTCCAAATGAAGAGGTGCCTAGTGTTTTAAGGATGTGCCACTCAGACCCTAGTGGTGGCCATATGGGTGTTTCCAAGACCAAGGTTCTTCAATATGGTTTGTGGTGGCCGCATCTCTTCAAGGATTCATGGGGCTTTGTGAAGTCATGCGACCGATGTCAAAGGGTTGGGAATATCTCCAAGAGGAATGAGATGCCTCAACAACCCATTCTTGAGTTAGAGGTGTTCGACGTTTGGGGGATTGACTTCATGGGACCATTCCCATCTTCATATGGTAATCAATTCATACTTGTGGCTGTGGACTATGTTTCTAAATGGGTTGAGGCCATTGCCTCCCCTACTAATGACCACAAAGTAGTGTTGAAGTTGTTCAACAAAATCATCTTCCCAAGGTTTGGCGTGCCTAAGGCTGTGATAAGCGATAACGGATCTCATTTTGTTCACAACGCCTTCCAAAAGATGTTGAGGAAACATGGAGTGCATCAACGGTTCGTCCTTCCATATCATCCTCAATCGAGTGGCCAAGTCGAGGTCTCCAATCGTCAAATAAAGCTCATTCTTGAGAAGACGGTTGCAAGGAATATAAAGGATTGGTTGGACAAGTTAGATGATGCTCTTTGGGCTTATAGGACGGCTTTCAAGACGCCAATTGGTACCACTCCATATCGCCTTGTCTATGGCAAATCATGCCATCTCCCGGTAGAGCTTGAACATCGTGCCTAGTAGGCCATCATGAAGATAAATTTTGACATAGCTTGTGCGGGGGAGAAGTGGTGGTTGGATCTTCATGAGCTAGAGGAACTTCGACTTAATGCTTACGATTGTGCTAGCACCTACAAAGCTCGCTCCAAGGAGGTTCATGACAAGTTGATTGAGAAAAAGGAGTTTTGTGTAGGTGACAAAGTCCTCCTCTACAATTCAAGGATGAAGTTGTTCCCTGGAAAGCTCATGTCACGATGGAGTGGACCATTCTTGGTGAAAGATGTTTATGATAATGGTGCCGTGGAGATTTCTCCTTTGAACTCCTCATCTTCATTTAAGGTTAATGGTCATCGGCTCAAGAAGTACTATGATGGAGTTTTTGTTGGACTTGTTCACAAAATGATTCGTTTTAAGCCACCTTGAGATGGTGGTGCACGTCGAGCTAACGACGTTAACCAAAAGCGCTTACGGGAGGCAACCCGAATTCTCATCTTATTTCTCTTTCCTTTCTTTTCTTTTATTTTTCCTTGATTGTTTTTTGATCTTATTTTGAGTTGGTTTTGTGTTTGTTTTGTAGGTCGCCTATTGTCATCACTTGTTAGAAAGAAAGGGTTTGATGAAGAGTTTAGAGTGCAGGGGAGAGGGCTCCCCGAGGGTTTGGAGAGACCTCGGGGGCTTCTTCACCTTTTTGAGGCATTTCAATCCAGGGACTTCCCGCGGTTGCCCCGCAGTCTCTCCGCGGGCGCGGGAAGTTTTGGAGAGGCCTCGGGAGATAAGGAGAGGGTGTGGCCCTCATTTCCAGCAAAATTAAACTCCAATCCAAGGACTTCCCGTGGTTGCCCCGCAGTCTCTCCGCGGGCGTGGGAAGTTTTGGAGAGGCCTCGGAAGTTTTGGAGAGGGCGCAGCCCCCCGTCAGGTAAAAAAGTTTAAAAAATTCCAGTAACTCCCCGCGGTGATTACTACGATAGTGAGTCTTAGTGTAAATTCTCGCCCCTTTTTTTCTTTTGTTTCGAATAAGCCCTTCTTTTTCTTTTTTAGCCTTTGTTTTGCTTGAGACGAGCAAAAGTCTAGCTTGGGGGAATTTGATGAGTGTCATTTATGGCACTCATAGGGTAGTCTTTTAGGGTTATTTCTTTCTCTTTTTCATGCTTTCTTCTCTTATTTTTGGTCCGTTTTCCTTTAGTTTCTCTTTCTCCTCTTTGCTTTAAGGTTCTCGTGTTTTTCTCGTGTTTTCCTTTTATTTGTCTCTTTTTCCCTTTTATTTCCTTTCTTTGTTTGGTAGTGTAGGTACTTGGAGAATCACCTTTGCAAAGGAATCAAGTAGGGACCTTAATGACCAAGCAAGGAAGAAGCATTTGGCTAGAGAGGGCTTTGAGAGGCCTTTGAGAGGCCTCGGAGAGGTCTCCAAGGTATTGCCAGCAGGCCGCAGGCGCGGGTCAGTAAAGCCGCGGGAGCGGGCTCAAGAAGCACAAATGGCAGATTTTGGCAGGAACTTCTTGCGGTTTCCCCGCGGGCATTTGCGGGCGCGGGAAACTTTGAGAGGGCGCTTCGTCTCAAAGAGACCGCGGCCCCCTGATTGAGTTTTGGGAGCAGGGAATTAGCCACGGGCGCGGCATCTGTGGCCGCGGGCGCGGGTTTATACTGTCGTGGGCGCGGGTGTTGCCCATATAGCCCGCGGAGGGTTCCGTACCCATTTCTCCGCGGCCGCGGGTTCATCGGGAGAGGGCGCGGGATTTGCCAGTTTCATCTTTGCTTATAAATAGAATTGTAATTCCTTTTTGAAACCAACTTTTTGATAATATTTCATTAGCTTAGTTTTAGAGAGAGAATTTAGAGAGAAGTTAGAGAGAAGTTCTTGGTTTTGGATTTGTAACTCAACATTTGATCAATCAAGTTTGGATTTCTTCATTTTCAATCATCAATATTAGTGAGAATCTCTTCCTTCTTTCATCTCTTACTTACTTGCTATTTGATTTATGCTTGTTGCTTGTTTTTCTTTGGATTTGAATTTGATATTGTTGAATATTTTTATTTCACTTAGATTTTGATATAGAATGATGATCAATGCAATTTCTAGTTATTTGTTCTTGAATTTCACCATGATTAGTGAGTAGATTAGTTGCTAGGGAAAGGGGGAAGCATGTTTGATTAAGGAAATTGCTAGTTGATGCTCTTTGATTGATTGATTGATTTGTTGCAATTAAATTGGTTGACATAGTTTTTCATGTGATTGATTAGACTAGGAGTGATCAACCTATAAGATTAATCTAGATTGCATTGCAACTCTTAATGACATGAACAATTGATTTGAAAGTTGCTCTAATTAATTGGGTTTGCTTGTGATTCTTCTTGATTTGCCTTTCATAGTGACTACTAGATTGGCCTATAGGAGATAGCATTTGAACTCTCTTGATTGCTACTATTGTTTGTCCTTTGGAATACTTGAATTAATTGATTGAGCTCTAAATTAGCATTATCATTGAACTTGCATGTGGAACCCATATCCCTAGTGTTTAGACCTTTGATTTACTTGATTAGACTTGTTTTATTTTACCATTGTGCCAACCATAATCTCAACTCCATCTTCGAGGTAGCTTGATTTAGACTCTAGTTTTCATCATTGCAGTCCCTAGGGATCGACCCTTAACTTTCCCTATATTCATATAAGGTTGGTTAGGTGTTTACAAATTTAGTTTGACTTGGGGGAAGGGTAGATAACGACATACATTTTCCTCTTGTCAGGATGCTACGAGGCGGCGTTCCTGATTGGCCTCCGCTTTCCGCTTCACCATGCAGTGAGGGCCATTCTTAGGGCTTATGGCCTAGTAGTCTGGCAGCTCTCACCAAACTCATGGGCCAACATTCTTGGGTATGTTGCCGCTTGTGAGATGCGAAATTTGAACCCAAGCTGGCATGCTTTTAATCATATGTACTATTTGAGTCGCAACCCTAGAGGGAGTTGTAAACTCTGACCACCCTTCCCAAATATCAAATGACATTGGACAAGGTGTCCACGTATGATGGTTGGAAGACATGTTTTTATTTGTTGTTTGCCCTAACCTAGTAAGAGAAGAGGGAGCTGCGCCGGTATAATAAGAAACCTGACCTCCTAGGTCGCAAATGTGCCCTCCCCAAAATATCGGGAGATGACTATGTTGCGATCCTGGAAACAACGTTTTTAAGCTCCATTCGTAGAATCACTCAACCGGGGACGTAAACAAAGTTCCTAATAATTGGATTCCCATGTGCGCATGGCTCAGCACCTTGATTCCAAAATGTACGTTTGACCGGCATCCGGCTTAATGCCGCTTGTACTTTTGCTATTTAGTCATAATTTTATATTTAATATGTTTGTTATTTTTTGCAGAAGACGCTTTAATTATGGTGGCTGTGGAAAATACCCACAAACAGTCCTCCACACAAATAAGAAGGGACCTGGCGGAGGCTAAGGCTGCCAAAATGAGGGCAGTTTTAAATACTTTTTCCTTAGCCTAAAGTTTTATCCGCCGTAACCGGATGCTTAAATTGTATTTTTATGTTGCAGGGTGGAGAAATTCCTAAGTCCTCCACCAAATACCTCTTCAAACGGGGCTTGGAGGAGACTGCCTCCACTCTAGTCAAACCTGCTAAGTCTTTTGGGAAGCACCGCCTCCGCATCGGGGAGAGGAACACTATTGTAGGAGGCTTGAGAGTGAGCTTTGACTTGGTCCCATCCGGGCTTTCTACGCCTGTGGGTGGAGCAAACCCATAATCCCCTGAAGGTAAATTCAATCCCTTAAAATCCCCGCCAGAGATGGGCTGGCCGTTGCTAGTGAAATCTCACTCTCAACAAACTTCTTCGTCAGATAGCCGGTATCAAAATGGTGCCGCCTATATAGCTCACTCACCTTTGACATATGGTGCAGATCAATCCCCCCGATGGCCGTATGTCCAAGCGCATGCCCGGGCCATACTGGCTGTTTCAGGGTTTTTTATCCCTCGGGAGAGTTACAACACTAAGACTGGATCCAGAAAGGGGCGCCTGTACCTGCAAAGCAAACGAACTGCAGGTTGGTCGGTGGTCCGGCTCCAAAGATTAAGTTCGCAAAGTGTTTGGAGGAAAACGTGCGGAAATAAAGTTATCTGCTCGGATTCCAAGCTCGGGTATTGTGCTGTCTGTTTCTGGAGAACGACAGCTCTGTAATAAATGCTGATGTTTCGTGTTGTCTCGTGTTACATAATAGTCCATAAATGAGGGAATTGTCCCTATTTATAGGGTTTTTGGAGATGTGTGCCCTCCATAGGGTTTGCTGACCTAAGAATTAGGGCACGCCGTAAAACGACGCCTCAAGGTTTGGGCCCTTAAAGGCCGCCATTTCAGAGGTGATATCTGAGCGACACGTGTCACTAATCCTAAAAGGCCATTTGGGCGTCTCTTAGGGTGACACGTGTCGCCCTCCTAATTGTACACTTTGGATCATCAAACATCCCAAATCAAGGGGATATCTGCCTACCACGTGTCACAATCTTGGAAGGTCCAAGGTGGCGCTTCTTCCAGCGACACGTGGCAGGCTCCGATTGGGCCACTTAGCCGGGTGTAAAAATACCCAAATCATTTGCCTCTCACAGGGGTCACGTGCTTCGCACATGACACCTGTGACAGGTGTCGGCCTCTGATTGGCCGAATTATTACTTTTTACTGTTGGGAGAATTTAGGGTTTTAACCCCAAGTTTTTCACCCCCCCTATAAATAGAAGGGTTTGACTTCTTCTTTGATTCACACTTGCGTGAATCTTCAAGGGAATCTTGAATCTTCTGACTTTGAAAGACTTTGACCTTCTAGAGCATCCGGTAGTCGCCCCCCTTAGTTCGCCTGCTTCAACAAGCGCCCAAGACCGATGACTCTTGTTACCTTCTTCTAAGGTAACCACCTGATCTCTTTTTAATAATTTCTATGAATTTTTTTTTTACCAAAATGGTTTCCCAAACGCACCCGGCACGGCCTAGGTTGGCGATCAGCCGGTCACCGGGGACGGCTGAATCTAGAACTAGGAGTGCCGAATGGTCGTTCGAGAACTTTGCTTTAAGTACATCTCCAAATCTGACATTGTCTGTGCCTCAGCAAGACACGATGGCCAGAACAAAGCAAACAACAAAGAGACTCGCCTAGCACCGTCCGCACTCCAAATGATTCGTTTTTAGAGGAGTGCGACGAGGAATTTGAGAACCCAAGGCCGAGTGGATCGGTACTGGCTAATGAGCTAGGGGAGGACAGTGATGGAAACAGCCGGAAGTCCCCTAGCTTCGAAGAGAATTCTGATGACTCTGTGTCATCATCTTCCAACTGCGTCCCCCTTGACTTAGAGGAGGCACATTCAAACCTGAAAGCTACCAAAGAGTCCCTCTCCGTTGAGAAGGGAGAGAGCTAGACGGAGCCGTCTGCT